GGTCAGACAAAGATTATGTTTGAAGACATCATTTTGGGTTGTTGGAATTTATTCAGGGCATTTTCTAAGCAGAGTTACTTATCGATTAATCAAGAAAATAATCTGCAGATAAAATGTTAATAAAAAGAATTGTTAGTTGCAAACGTAGTCATTTTATATTTCATATCAGAGTGTGTCCAATGCTCCAGGATTATTCTCAGCAAAAGTGAATCACACACATTGTGAAATTGTAAAGGGAAAAACCCACACACCTACAGTACAGTCACTTGAATAAATAAGCAGGATACTGAGTTGTCCCACCCTACCAGTAAATGAGACTAAAGTGACCTTAAACGGCGCCATTGTCTTAGAGATGGGAAGTGGAGTCATTTACCAGAAAGAAAACGTGAATTATATGTCACTCACCTTTTGCTATCTTAACTTTCTGTCACTGGATGTTTTCAGTTCAGCCTCTGCTTTTTCTTCCTCTTGGCTGTTTTTCCACAGTAGCTGCTGCCTCGTGCCAAACTCCAACACATTTTAAATAAAGACTGTTGATAAGAAAAGTTTATTTAGCACAGATGTTAGCCTGTGTCTGCTTTACAGTACATTTAGATTTGACAGCAACATTTATATTTCTCTGGTCAACAATGATGTATTTCACCCACATTTGGCTTTGTTTACAGATTTGTGTAGCAATGTTGAACCAATGTTAGCCTGCATATAACTTGCCTTCCTATCTGATATTGTCTTAGTTTTCACGAAATCACATGTTCTGGATAATTGTCTGTGAAAGATGTCCCCGGTTGTGAAATTTGAGTTTGATTGTGATGCAATATTTGATTAGATCTTTCTAAATCCTTTGAAACCAAGCATGGAGAAAACTTCTCTACTTCCCTGTCACTAAGTCTATCATCTTTGGGACAAGTCTATTGCCCGGCCAGTCTGCTCATAAGTCAGACAGATGCTGCTGGATCATGGGAAAGGAATGTGGTGTCATCCTAGCGAATCATATAAGGGTCAGAGGGAGCGCTTCCTGATTGCTTTAAGTGAAAAAAACACCAAAAACATAACTTACTAGTCCTACTAGTCGTAAGTGATTATGATTAGTTGGAAAAATGTCTATCCCCAAGGAATCAGTGTTTTTATATGGAAGGTTTACAGATGACATGCCATCCTGTTAAACATAAAAACACAACCGTGCGTCATTCAGTCTTTTGACGCTTTGATCCTTTTCATGCTAGTTGGCTGATTATTTCCACTCTACCTAGGAAGCTCATAATTGCAATGAAGCTTTTGGCCTCTGGTGCTCTTGCTCCCTCAGCCATACTTGTTCACATCCTGTCCTTGAACAGAAGGCCTGCTTCTGGCTGACTGAGCAAGAAATGTAATTTTACATTTGTGTATGTTTATAGTACATGTGCTCGATCTAAGAGCTGATGGACATGTTGTTCTGTACCTGAACTTCAAAGAGAAATAGTTGTATGAGTGGAAAGGATTTCCAAGACAATTGCACTAATCCACTAAACCACTAGGTCACCCCGAACTCATAGGAAAGGGTCTTTGTTCCCAAGGTTTGTCTTTGTGTTGTCATTCGAAGGCTAAATTATTGGATATCCCTTCTTTGTCCTGTTTAGTAGACCAGGGTAAAAACACAGCCATAAGATAATGTTCTTATTTTGTTTACAGATTTGTTATAAACGCCTGTTTTTTTGTTTGTTTATCTAACAATATTACCAAACCTCAGAGATCTACTTAGTTTCTTTTTGGAGATTTCAATTGCGTCAAAGTCAGCACTCAGCCAATAGAGCGGGAGAAAGAAGTGCTGTTTAATAAAGCTTAAAACTCTGACTTTAGATTATGTTATTGCATGTATTGTTTCCAAAGTTTAAGAATAAGCTTCCATGATCAAATAGTTATATTTATTTAGCTAAGTCTCGATTTCAACAAAGTGTTATGCTTCATCCTTCTTCATTTTGGTTTTCTTAATGTCCTTGTCAAGTGACCAACGCACAAGACAAAGTGTATGATGCACTCAGACAGCATTATCCTGTTACGAAAAATAATGGTTTTGACGTAATGAGACCCATCGTGATGCTACTCTCATTCTTACTATTGGAAGTCTCATTGTGTGTCATCGTCCCTCTCTTTTGAAGACTGATGACACACAATCATATCACCTGTACCCCGGCTTAACGTCTCAAATGACGATAAAGACTTTCAGCAGGATGTGACTCAGCTCATTGTTGGATCAGAGGTGATGTGTTTTGATAGAAGTAGAACAAGACATGAATAACACATAACAGCACTGATGTCTGCCTGGGCCCGGGAGCTCATAAACACAACAGGGGCGGGACATATCTGTGAATACTGCAGCACTGCACTTAAGTACGGTTTGAGGTTGAGTATTAGCTTTCTTTAATTACTCTGATACTTTTCACAAGGGAAGTTTTCACTCCCTTAGAATGTATTCAACAGCTGGTATATAATAGCAACTTTACATTTAAAGATTTTTCATATAAAAATGATGATGGGTTTATATTAAGTAAGATGTCGAACTATATGTATAGTTACAAAATGAAAGAATCAATAACAACAATCCATTCATATAATGTTTGCTAAAAAGATTATACATTATGACAAGGTTCTGCACAAGTATTTGACACTTTTGGTATTTCTTTCAGATATTGCTTCTGTACTTTTACTTCGGTAGGGTTTTAAATGATGGACTTATTGTGTTTTCAAGTAGTTTGACATTGTGGTTGTACTACTTTTACTGGAGTAAAGGTTCTGAATAAACACTGAGTATGTGCTGAAACTTGCATGCAAACTTGATTAGTATATAATGTATCCCATCCATTCTACCAGTCTGTTGATGCTGCATGGAGTAAAACATAAAAAATAAAATTCTTTAGCGCACTATTGGCAAACAGTACAGACTTGTGCTTTTTTAATGGGAAGCCTATTTGAAGGCATTTCCCAGGCCTGTGGAAATGTTATCCTTTTTAATTTCTCTGGTACTTCTTATCATCTTCATCCACATATTTATTGTGAAGCTCTCTTTAGTTAATATAGAACACAAGGGGATAATTGGACAGTTGTGAGATGTGCGTGTTATGGATGACTAGCCTTGCCTGCACGGTTTCCAGAATTAGTCTTCTCCTCACGTGATCGCTACACACAAAGCGAGTGGATTGACCCGAGGTCGTGCAGTCAAGCATTGACTGGATAGTGCAGGCATGCATGTGTTACACTTGCACTTTTCCTTTACCTTTGATCCTTAGAGTTCATCTTTTATGTTATAGTATTTCAGTGCACCGTCATGGCATGTTTACGAATTGAACATTTCACAGGAAATTCTGCATAGTTTGCACTGATTATTGCACCATGTCGTAATTCACAGAAAAAAGGAGGGAAGCGTTTCCTGCTTTCTTTTTGCTGCAATGAGAGCCTGTATTTGTGCACATATTAAGCATTTATTTACAATACCAAATCTGTGCAATTGTTCAAAAGCATGTACCACTCTTAAGTTGTTTTTATTTTGTTTAAATCTTGGTTTTATAAGTTTAATATTTGTGGATGGTGCACTTTTAGCCTTTTTCCTGTGTACTTTCTTGTCCGTCTCGTTTGTACCCTGTCTTTCGTCCCTTCTGTGAAGCATTTGAACTGTGTGTGTCTTGTTCACAGATTGAGCTTTTAGTTGTTGAGCATTGTTTTCCTTTTGACCATATTCCCATCGTTTGTGTGCGATGTGTTAAAAAATGTAGCTTTGAATAAATCCAAAATCAAGAAACTATAGTGTTAAAATAGTTTAAAATGTCCAATCTATGTGTATGAGTACTGGAAGTTTCAAGTTTGTAGACCATACCTTATTAAATATTCCACTTTAGACCATACGTGGCTTTAACATTTGTTGTGATGTCCCAAAATAATGATTCAACCACAGAGTTAACGTGAGCATAGCAAAGCGTTTCCTCTTTAGCAGATTCATTAAAAAAATAGCTTTTTTTGTTTAAACTGCAAACTCATCATACTGTAATGTCAAGGTTAATCAAAATGAAGCCACATTTACCAAAACACATTTTTTACGATGAGGAGGTTGTGGTGTAACCATCCGCCTCTCTGCTGGTGTGTGTTTACTATACAGAAGAGAGGTGATGGCCATCAAGGCAGAACAAAGCGATACAAGAGTGTGACGTACAAAAACTCAAACTACCGTGAAAAATGTTATACATACAACATACTGTATCTCTCGGTCACTGTTTGTTTGATCTCTGGGAAGACGCACCTTAGCCATAAAAAACTTTCTTCACGTGATGTTTCCTCCTCTCCTCTTCTCTCATGGTGTCTTAATGAGATCCACCTCCTCCCTTCCCCATTCATCCCGTTCTCCTGCTGAATGAAGGAGACTCTCTCTCAGTGATTTCCAACAGTGAATGAACACTGTGCACTCTAGCATATCACTGTGCCCTTTTTTTCCAGTCATGTCATGTCATGTCCATTTATGTATGTGTGCGTCTACTGTGCATAATTATGTGTGAGTAGTGCTTATATCTTAAGGAAGTACATGTGAAGACTCTTTCCATTTCGTAACGCTAGGTCGTTTAAACCCAATAAAATCAACGGGCAGTTTGATAGTGAAAGTGAAACATTATCAGAATGATAAAGTCTCCCTTGAAAAAGAGATCAATGATCTCAATGGGACCTACCTGGTTAAATAAAGGTTTGAAATTAAATTAAATTAAAAATATTATTTGCGCAGGTGTTTCATTTCAATTTCAAGGTTGAGTTTGTTTCCTCTACTTGTTTTCTTATCAGAGTGTTTCCACTAGCTTGGTAGCTTAGAGTTGGTCAAGTTTGAGTCTAATGTTACCAGAAAACTGGTCACACTGGAAACACTGGTAAATACTCCTATCTCTAATCATTGATGTATATCTGCTTTATTGCCTTGTGCCGCTTTACTGAAAAACTGAACTACAATTATAAATGTAATATTAAACTGTATGTTTATCTGTTTTCAGTTTTGATGTGGAGAATGGCCCGTCCACCAGCTGCAGCCCTCTGGACCCCCAGGCCTCCCCAGGTTCTGGGCTGGTCCTCCACACTAACTTCCCCGGTCATAACCAGCGGCGTGAGTCCTTCCTCTACCGCTCTGATAGCGACTATGACCTGTCACCCAAGTCCATGTCACGAAACTCCTCCATCGCCTCTGAACTGTGAGTATCACACACACACACAAATACGCACAACATGCACATGAAGAACAAGACGTTAAGCCAGAGGCCTAGCGACACACAGTGGAACATGGCATACACACAATTATAGCAAGATGCACAAATAATAAATTAGGAAGGTTTTTGCTTTCCATAATGGTAGGTAGTTTAACAAACGTAAGGATTGTATATACACTAACCCAACACAAAATGTATTTGAGTTACCTTAAAAATAACTTATAACTTGTGGACCAAATTGTATTTGCATCTTTTCTTAAAAGAGCTCTGTGCTGTACTGTCTTATTACTCAGTGATACTCAGTTTTAGCATAGGAGAACATTATCTGTGTATAAAAGTATAGATGACATTTCATTTAAGTAGTGTTTTTTACTGGTAAAGAGATCTCCTTAGCAGTTGTCAATTACCCATTTTTGTTTGTAAGCTTGCACATTTTTACTGACTTCAGCCACAGTGTTTTTCTGTGTTATTTAACCATTAAACTACATCACTGGCTTTAGTCGATGCTCTGCTGCTGAATTACTGCTCTGCCCTCCAGCAGAAGATCTGGTAGTGGGGGGTGAGTTACTTAAAGTAGTCCATACTCCAGATGTTGCATAATGACAATTATTGAAACCCACAGAAGTGTAACTCAATAGTTTGCCCTGTCTCAGCTTACAAGAACAGGTCACTGAGAGCTAAGTGCCTTACAAGGTTACAAGCCATTGGAACAAAAGACTCCTCCTATATTCCTCTCCCTCTTTAGGCTCTTTCAGTTAATTATAGAAATGAAGCTGGCTGGGTCATTACCTATTGTTCTTACTTAACATCTTTGCTTATAACCACAAATAAGCAGGAGGCACTTATGCATGTAATCTTTATGCAACAGCAAAACCAGATATTTGGTGTGTACCATCTTTGAGGATGTTTCTCACCACTTCTTTTGTTGTGTTTGCAGACATGGAGATGACCTGATCGTGACACCTTTTGCTCAGGTAATCATTTTGCTGCAACTATTTGTGAACCAAGAGGACAATCCTTTTTAACTATTATGATAGGCGATTCATCCTTGATGTTATTGTCATGGGGAAATGGCAGATAATGATGCTATTTAGGCTACAAACTATGGAGATTTTATGCTTGCATTTACACAAAGATGTCTCCACACTGTTCAGAAGAAAATTGATTTTGAAAATACTGTATACTTTAAAAAGGACCCTCAAAATGTTATTTTACTCTGCTTATCTAGGTTCTGGCAAGCCTTCGAAGTGTGAGGAATAACTTCACTGTACTGACCAATGTCCAGTGTGCCTCCAGCAAGTAAGTGCTAAAGACTTGAGAACAGCAAGCAACATTTTAAAACTTTTTTTCCAAATGGTTAACTCAGTGACCTATGTTGACCCTGTAAACAAAACAAAGAAACAATCTGTCACACTCTTACATTCAAAGGAAGCACTTGATAATGAAACATTTGCTTGGTTATTATCAGCCATCATATGGACCCCTAGAGAGTGTTAGAAATCAAGTTGAATCCCACCTAGATAATCTTGGGATTCCTTTATTAAATATGATAAACATTATACAGTACATCTTGTGTAATTAAAAAGTACATCAAATTCCTTATAGCTTTTAAAATCACAAAAAGGCAAAGGCTAGACACTCATTTTGTCAGCATGTGTGCTGCAGTTCCATTTTTCCACCACAAGGTAGCGATCTTGAGCTTTAAACTGCAGGGTGAAGTCTGACGCCACTGCTGAGCTTATCTACTGCAGCTAGAGCAAACACACAACCATACACACAAACATACAGAGATGGAAATGTATTGACAAACTGAATATCATTTAATATAACAATGATGTCAACATAAAAGAGGGATGCTTATTTTGGATCCATCGTTCCTCGTTTGTCTGTTGAGACATAGTTTCCCTCAATGCATCATTCAAATCAAATGCTCTCTAAGGAATTCCTCTCTTGTGGGGACACGAACACAAAACAAACTCACAACACTGATGGAATGCCTTTAAGAGGGTCACTGTGACATACAAAAATAGAGAAGCAGCAAATCCTTGAAAGCAAGAACCATAAACATTTAAGGTTTGGTATTTTTGCTTGAAATATCACCTTAACGATTATTCTATAAAACAAAGAGTAATTTTCTGTTGGATAAATCAACAAACCCTTCCATTTACAGTGTAGCACCACAACTCACTTTGGAGGAGAGACAGATCCAGATACACTGGATATATGTATGTGGGGCACCTTTCCCTTTATTCTTCAGGCTTCCATCTGTGTGTCGAAGATGAGATGAAGTGTGTGTCTTTGTGTCAGTTTCCAAAGATGCTAAGAGCACTCTCCTCCAGGATTTTGTTATCGCACAGTTTGCTGTATTGAATACACAGAGCCTGTCTGACCTATATTTCGGCAGACATCCCCACATAGAGAAGAGCAGAGACTAAAACACATGCACACAAGTACACAGGCATGCAGCATTAATGCACACATTATGTTGCCCTTCTTTCACACAGAGGGGTCAGGCTGATGTGACCTTTTATTTTCACTATTAAAGTAAACGATTATCAAATGTTCAAAGGTACTGCTGAGACTGCAACCATGAGGGCATATATGACTTGAACATCTGACTGTGAAACAACAAATGTTCTGCCTCGACTACCACAAGGTTCCATTAAAATAAAAATACATAAAAACAAAACATTTGAAGACACCCCATGACTCATTGTGACATGTTTAATTACTATTTAGGAACCGTTTCAACTCAAGTTCAAAATTACTCCATTCAGGATCTATTATACATTTTGTGTACTCCATGTTATTTCCCTGACAAAAGAAAAAAAGAAGGAATAGTTAGAACATTTGGGCAATTCGCTTAATCATTCTCTCACCAAGATTTGATGATGTGTCTCGTTTCTGAATAGCCAGAGACATGTAAGCCCTGCTCTGTCCGAAGGCTGCCTAGAAGCAACTGTAAAGCTCACTTATCAACATGTTGTATCTGGTTGGTTTAATACATTTTAATAAGCTAAGCTAACTAGCACTAGCTGTAGTTATATATTTATCGTACGTACATCGATCTTCAAATCTAACTTTCTTCATGAAAACAAAACCTTGTATGTATCAATATGTTGAGATTCTACTTGAACCCAAATAGCTTACCTTCTTGAGCTTTTACCCAACAAAATGGTATTCATTATTTGGGTGAACCATTTAAAGATGAAGAATATTCAGTGTATTTTTCTTTTTTTTATTCTAACTTATTGCTTTCTTTTTGTCTTTCAGGAGGTCTCCGGCAGCAACTCAGCCTCCCATCACCAGAGTGTGTCTCCCAGGTAAGAGGTTCAGAGAGATATCCTGCTACGTGTCTCAGCTCTGTAACGCTTTGTGAAGAATGTGTCTTTTATCTGGTTTATATCTGGCTCGAGCATTCTTCTGCCATCGTTTTTCCTAGTTCTCATTATTCTCGCTCCCTCCCTGCCCGCCTCTCTCCTCTGTCTTGTCCTTTGCTCATGAACTCGCGTACGTGACGACTTTCATTTTTCCTTGTAATCTGTCTTCAGCTGTAACATTGCAGTCCAGACTACTTTGTCATCAAGCTCATTAAGCATTTCAAAACACAATTCAACTGGTTCTTCAGACAGGCAGACACACACACACACACACACACACACACACACACACACACACACACACACACACACACACACACACACACACACACACACACACACACACACACACACACACACACACACACACACACACACAGTGTATGGCCTATAACAGCGCCTCAGATAACAACAAAATCCCTTTTTTTTTCTTTCAACACCTTTGAATTTAAGCAGCAGTGTGTATGTGTGTACCAGTCTATGCCAGTAAGAGACAATGTGTTTAGTATTTATGTACAAGTGCACACTACTTTATGAGCACCTACAAGTGAGTGTACGTGGTTTGCTTGTGAATATCTATCCTTTGGATTTTCTCTATATGACACTGAGATTTTTGTCTGTTCACCGACTCAGCCAAGCCTGTCTCTCAAACTCACAAATACACAAAGAAATACACAGAGGCACACTTGAATGTGGGTTTAACAATCACGCATCCTGTTTGTGTGTGACGGCCTGTAATACTCCCTCTTATGACACATTTCAGTTAAAAAAAATCAAATATTTTTAATTGCTTTTGATGAAAAATAGGGTTTTATTGCACCGGCCTAGTGCATCCTGCTCAAATGATAGCAGCCTGTGGATTGAGAGGGCCGCGATGCAGCGACATGCGTTCTGTGTAAAAATGAGACAAGATGAGCAAGTATAAAACTGAGAACAGTGAGCAGGTAACCATCAAATAACCGGCATGTTTAACCTAAAGCCAGCTCAGGTCACAGCATAGTAGACCTCGTCAATATCAATACTCAGACAGTTAAATGTTACATAACAATGTTTTATTTTTCATTTTTTAAATACACCTAGACAAGCTTTACCGACCAAATGATTGTTTGATTGTTGGTGTTATACTGAAATATATGAGTTCATGTTGTTGAAAAAGAAACAACTAGTTACTGGTAGTCTATATTCATACTGTGAAGGTGTGTGTGCGTGCGTGTGTGTGTGTGTGTGTGTGTGTGTGTGTGTGTGTGGTAATGGTAAGCATCACTTGACGTATTAAGTAAGGGTGTATTTCAGTGTGATGATATTATAACTTTGCTTTGTGCAACATTACAATTGTGGATTGGTATGGTGTATGATTTGCATAAGCGTGTATAGTGGCATATGCATCAGTGTGAGTAATGCGTGTGTGTGTGTGTGTGTGTGTGTGGTGTGGGGAGGTGTTCCTGTGGCTCTGATTGACGTCAGCATGCCTGTATGTGGCTTCTGTTGACTTCCTGTAAAAGCAGATGGACTGAATTTTCACTTCCTTCTTCTAAACCGCAGCTCATCAGGTGCTGTGTGTGTGTGTGTGTGTGTGTGTGTGTGTGTGTGTGTGTGTGTGTGTGTGTGTGTGTGTGTGTGTGTGTGTGTGTGTGTGTGTGTGTGTGTGTGTGTGTGTGTGTGTGTGTGTGTGTGTGTGTGTGTGTGTGTGTGTGTGTGTGTGTGTGTGTGTGTGTGTGTGTGTGTGTGTGTGTGTGTGTGTGTGTGTGTGTGTGTGTGTGTGTGTGTGTGTGTGTGTGTGTGTGTTAAAATCTATGTGTGTAAAGATTATCTTGACATTAGAAATGACTTGCAAGGTGATTAAATCATGAGGCTGACATTTTTTTTATAAATCAACAAATTCTTCGAAATAACACTAAACCGACAAGGAATAAACCCTTATAACAAGTATTGCCTGCCACAGCATAATATATATCTTATTTCTCAAAACCTTAAAAAAATCCATAAAAAATGAATGCTGTTGCCTTTGGACTATCCTTCTCACATTAAAGGCAACTCGAGTAGTTGTATTCCCTCTCAGTTTGTTAAACTAAAACTAAATTGAGATTTGTTTCAGACGCACTTGGAAACAAATTAAGTATCAGAGTTATTATTTAGAGTTTTCTTACTTTTATTTTCGTTTTCATTTTCTTATTGTATCATAGTGTGGTTACAGCTTTGTGGAAAACATACAATGAACAATTAATTGGTAATGATGACGAATAGTGAATCATAACAGCATGAGTTTTATGGCGCAAAGGCACATATACTGTAGCTACAGTTTAATTAAAGGTGTATTTACTGTTTTGTTGCTCTGGTCTCTTTAGTAGATTTGATGATATTAATAAAAAAGGAAGTGTAACACCAATGTTGTCTTTAAAGACACAACAGTACCATTTTTGTACTGTGTCTACTTTGGTTTAAACATTTTTTAAATGGCAGGGTTTTGCTGTTGAAGGGTTCATATCAAATGCATGATTTGGTTGTGTTAAATCAACACCTGTCCACCACAGAACCTCTGCAGTGTTTATCCCATGATCTCAGGCCACATCCTCTATAGACCCCCTCCTACGTTTCTCACATAAAAACACACATCTACATCCATTCCTTCCTCCGTTTCTTCACTCACCAGCTTCCCTCTCTATCCTATTCATTTCCAGCATCTGTCCAGCTGTCTCCCCCCCCCCCCCCCCCCCCACACACGCACACAGCCTGAGTCTTTATTTGTTACCTTTTCATTCATCTGTTTCGTCTCTCTCTCGCTCTCATCATCGTCATCGTATGGGAGGGGAATGGCAGGAAGTGTGAGGCAGGAAGAGAAGATGAGATTCTTCCTGTTTTGCTGTCAACTAACCTGTTGTAACTTGACGGAAGCCAGAGGGAACTGTTGTGTAGACGAGGTGCGTGTGTGTTGGTATGTGTTGGTGTTTGTGTGAATGACTGTCAACCAACAGGAGAAAAATAGGATGCAGTGAGACAAAGGCCTATTGTCTGTGCCCACACACTGCACAAACATGCACATGCAGATACAATAATACAATATGTAACACACTATTAAATCAATGTATTCTGAGAGCAGACAGATACACATGTAGAGCCAAAACTACAGATCTTGCATGCTACTCATTAAAACAAATCAAACTTAATAAACAAATTGTTGTCATGAGACTCAAGGCAGGTGCTTTAGATGCATTGCTCACACATTTAAAAGCACAAAGATGAAACAAAATTCTCTGGCCTAAATTTACCATTTTATACAATAATATGATATAGGTAGTAGGGTGTCAGATTTTGTATTATATAGACTATATCATTAATTAATTAATTAATTGACTATGTATATGATATTAAAGGACAATTCAAAATGTGATATATGTAAGATTAATTAATTACTCGCAGGCATGCTTTCTCTTGTTCTCGAAGCTGCTAGAATAGGGACATTTCAGTTTTGCCTTCATGGAGCAACTTGGTAGTCCACTGGTTAAGACACTTAACTTATAACAGGTTTAAAACAGCTCAATATATCTGTTGCATTTCAAATATCTTTCTTACAGTCAGTCCATAACTGTATTTAGCCAATAAAGCCGCAAATGTCTTAAAAAAAAGTTTAATTTATGAATCTGTATCGGAATCATTTGGCAGACAAGTAATTTAGATGTATTCCCACGTACACATGCATCTTGACAACTTGCTCATATGACACAGAGGGCAGGAAAAATACTGATCAACCCTGTATTTTTCTCACGGCACAAAGGTGGAGATGACACAGATAATGTGAATCAGATAAGACTATAGATAGTTAAAACCTGTTCACTGTTAGTATCATTCGTAACTTATATGGACTTAAAGTCATATGAATGTAACCTTTATTATTTGGTCCATACATTTCATTGTCTTTCAATACTCTGTTTATTGAATCTCACAATGAAAACTGAAAAATTGGCTCACTTTTTATACAGAGCTCCTATCATATCACGATCAAAAAATAGGTTTGTGCGTTCTGCTCGCACATGTGCATGAAAAATTCCACCCAATAGATACATATCCACTGACCCAACGCAGCTCTTCTGTGTCACGGTGTTATAACAGAGCCAGGAAGTATTCTGTGTCATTTCTTCTGCCTTTATCTGTGAGAACCTCACTGAGGTATGACCTGACTTCCTGGTCAAGTTGACCTCTGTGATGAAATGCTGTCATACAGGATATGTGGGAGGCAAAGGGCTCTTGAACTCTCCCGACCTTTGTCACATAGGCTCTGTATGTGTTTGTGTTTGGCAGCTCAGTAATGTGGAAAGGTGTCAGCAAGTTGCCTGTTAAAACCTATTGTGCCTTTCCATTGTGTTGGTGTTTTCTTATAATGTGAACAGCCCCCCCATGACATTTCCCCCCAAATAAGCCCTGCATATTATTTCAAAGCTAGCAGCCTGTGTTTGGTCAATACTAAAAAATAACTCTGAGATAACTGCATAGGTGAAAGGTATTTAAACAATGTGAAATAGTTATGCAAAAGGTTATAAAAACACTGAACATACACAGGGCTTAGGGGATGGACACTTTTGGCGCGTTTCCACTACAGCGCGCAGCCCGGTTTAAGAGGGCTGTGACGTCAGCGGCCCGTCTTTGGTTGCGTTTCCACTTGGCCTAGTACCGGCCGGCGGGTCCTAATTCACAGTTTTTCTGGCCTCATAAAATCGTGGGTCTAGGGCCAGAGACAACGAGGCTGAGTCGGGCTGAGTATGCTAAACTAGAGAGAGCGTCGCTGGCAAGGGGGCAACAACTACAACAAGATGGACATATTTGACCGTGATTTAATTGTAATACACGTTTCAAAATGATGCCGAAGTAACAACATACTGATACCGGTTAGTAAAAACCATGAATTAATGCTTTGTCAAGTCTGCAGACAGACGGCAGGCAAAAAACCT